TTTTCTTACAAACACTTCATTGTTACCTTCCCCTATAGGGTTACCAACACCCACTCCAAAAGCCTACATTAAACGGCTTTCCGTTTCTCCTGAAGAGGTGTACCTAGCTCTGGCTTGCTGAATCCTTCAATATCCAATGGTATTGATATGATTGGACCATTGCTTCTAATAAGATGTGCCTCAGCTTTATTTCGTCTAATACAATTCCTGTTTTCTCAATTCCTGCTTTATGGGTCCATACCCCAAGAATGGAAGGTGCTGCTCATTACTCCAGTACACAAATCTGGAGACAAATCATCCGCAAAGAACTATAGGCCTATCTCTCTTTTATGCTCTCTCTGTAAAATCCTGGAGAGGTTTGTGTTTGATCATATAATGTCCTTTGTGGCTCCAGCTATTTCAGTGTCACAATTTGGTTTTGTTAAGGGGAGATCTACGCAACAACAACTCATTACTATGCTACACGGCATTGCTGATAACCTTGACAACTGGTTAGCAAGTGACATTGCTTATCTTGATCTAAAGAAAGCATTCGACACAGTCTCTCATGACATTTTACTGTCTAAACTGCGTTCTCTTGGGATCAATGGGCAAATATTCAACTGGTTGCTGAACTACCTCACTAATTGTACTCAACAAGTTACTATCAATGGTAGTCTATCCTCTCCTCTTGGGTCCTATCTAGTGTACCCCAGGCAGCATTATAGGTCCTTTTATGTTTTCACTATTTTTCAATGACCTTCTAAGCTCTGTAAGGAATTCTTTGTTATTGTTATTTGTGGATGACACTAAATGTGTTCACTCATGTCAAGTGAAGACAGCACACTGTTGCTCATTACAGGACGACTTAAACTATTTAAGTCAGTGGTGTATTGACAATCATATGGCGTTTAATGAGAAGTGTGTTATCCTAAGGATTGCACATATGGTTTTGATGCACTTCCTGCACTGTACACTATCAGTGATGGACCACTTTCTACAACACATTTCGTACAAAGATCTTGGGGTCTACCTGTCCAGTGACCTGACCTGGTCAGGGCATATAACTTATATTGTCTCCAAGGCCTATAAGACTTCGAGTTTGATCAGGAGACATTTCTCTCACTCCTTAACTACAGACGTGAAGCGAGCCCTATACTTACACTTGATTACATCTCAATTACTCTCCTGTCAGTTAATATGCAGGCCATCAAGTATTAAAGATATCAATCTTTTGGAACGTGTCCAGAGGTGGGCGACAAAATATGTATGGAATGACTATAAGATGGATTATAAATCCCATTTAATTACCCTAGACAGCACGTGCTGCCTCTGATAATGATCCTTGAAATTAATGATATCTCCTTTTTTGTGAAAAGTGTCAGCAATCCGTCTTCTAGGTTTGACATATTACAGAATGTATCCTTCTCCAACTCTTCAACCAGATCATCCTCCAGCTCTGTGCTTGTTTATAAATATTCAAGGTTGAGTAAAGTGCGCCATTCCTATTTGTATCGACTCCCCAGACTCTGGAACTTTTTACCAGTAATTGACTCCAACCTCTCTTCTGCTACTGTGATAGCCCATGTCAAATCATTCTTTAAAGATCAATGTTTAGTCAATTTTAACTCATCTGATTATTGCTCTTACCACTAAGTGTGTCCCTGCAGCAAATGTCACCTATTATATCCAATTTCACAAGCCCACAAATGATTCATTAATTTCGATGTGTGCATAGTTTTTGTCATTTCAATTATAACTATTTGTGACCCAATATGAGAAAGCCAGGCTATCTGCAGGAATTATCATTTTGAGCTATGGGCTTATAATCATGAAAAATCTTTACTGGGCGAAATTCTTTTTATCACAAACATGTAATATAAACAAAATCCTTTTATTTAATAACAAAATCAGGGGTAGCAAAGCCTTCTTTGCTGACTTATAAGCCCTTTGACATTTTACCTTGATTGTGCATGAAGAATGTTACACGGAACAAACACAGAATAAAAACGAAGGGCTTTAATGCATCAAAGGTAGCATGGGTGTTATCCAGGACAATAATAGAATAAAATAAATAAAATAAAAGTACAAGTACATCTTGAGGATGAAGAAGATTAAGATGCATGTACATGTACATAAGATCTAAAGGAACAGACCTTACATGTACATGTAATGACATATCATAGCACTTGTACATGAGCCTGCATTCAAGGGACATTACCTTAAGAAATACATCTTAATATTTCTTAAATGAAGAAATAGGTCCTTGAGACAGTGATTACGTTGCTTCAGTTCTTAGGGACTACTTTGGAGATGAAACTAGTGTTAAGCTTATTTATAACACTTTTTACATACTAACTGTGAATAGCGGTTAGCTATCACAACAATGACATTCCATCACCTGTATAAATGCACTAAATTATTATATAAAACTTAGTCATACAGTGTATTTGTTAATTGATAGAGACAGAATATGAAGCAGTAAAAGACATGGAAGAAGAGAAAGAGGAAAGGAAAGAGGAAGAGATAGAAGATTGTGATGAAGATGTTGATCTGCCTCTGTTTGATCCTGAGGTGGCTGTGGAGCTACAAGTATCAGATCTTCAATTAGTATCAGTGACGCCTGATGCTCCAGCTACTTTAACTACTCACTCTTGTGATGACATGAGGAAGGAAGACCTACAGGAGGAAGAAGAATTATCAAAGTTATTTAAACATGGATGTGGTTGCTCAGATAATTGCTATGCACTGTTCAGTCACTCTTCCATAAAAACATATAAATGTGACATACAAGCCATGGCAAAGCCTGTTCAAGAGATTGCTATTATGAGTCAAATGGTAGCAACATCTACCATGGGGGGATTGTAAACTGGCAACCACAGGAGACAGAATGAAAGAGGCAATTTTTGACGTTCATGGATCACGGTCATAAGGTTTGTAACTATGAGTGGCACAACACAAAATTAATTATATTTTTGAACTAGATATGTAGAGTAACATTTCTAAAGCTACATGCATGTGGCAAAAGAAAAACTACAAAATCAATGGATTAATGCCTAAGTATGAGACTTGCAAATTAATTGTTACATACTTAATTTTATTAGACTTCATGGAAATGCTGCCAAACCATGCTTTCACTTATGATGATATTCTCTGGGTTCTTGTGTTCCTCATAAACTACACTGAAGTCCATGGTAATAGTATTCCTGGAAGAATACCTGGAATAGAAAGTTAAGAGAATAAGTTTTTACCATGCAGTATATCTAAAAGGCTGGTATACTTAGAGTATGCCGAGCTTCATGTCAAAGCATGTGCTGAAACAACATTCAACATGTTGTGGCAATGCTACCTGCCTATGTCTGACTTATGCCATTTGTAAAGAGAGAAGTGAATACATTATAAGAAGTGCTAACATGCAATCAGATGAAAGGATAACTGAGGTCAGTTAGTACTGTAATAACACAAGTATTACATTTAGCATTTCAGGCAATGCAAAAGGCACTAGATCACAGAAGCCTTCTTAAAAAGGAAAGGGAGTACTATAAGGATGTATTAAAAGAGGCACAATTATTGTTAAAAGGGCTGTATACTGATGCGGCATACAATTACAATCCCCCACTAACAAGGCCACTTGCTATGTTTAATATCGTAGCACATTATAGCTTCGGTTATCCACAACAGGTAACATTTTATGATATTAAAGTGTATAGAGCTTACTTACTTTCTTAAAGGTTCACTATCCTTCAAGTCCACTACAAGCAGGCCCAATTTATTTGCTTACTCCCAGGAAATGTGGCATATTTGGTGTGTGCTGTGAAGCTATCCCTCAGCAGGTTAATTTCTTGATCGATGAATCATTCGACACTGGTAAAGGGGCAAATCCTGTCATAAGCATGGTACATTTTTAGTTGAAGAATCTTGGCCTCAACTCAGTCAATATCCATTTCAATGCTGACAACTGCACAGGGCAAAATAAAAATAACACAGTTATTAAAGTAAGTATAATACATGCACAATAATGAACATTTTAAATGTAATTCTTCATTTATTTTAGTACCTCTTATGGAGAGTCATGTCGGGACTCTGCACCCATTTCAATATCCTTTTTGCCAGTTGGACTCAAAATTTTCTCCAGACTGCTGCTTTGGACTATTAAAGCAAAAATTCCGTACATCAGAGGTCGACTCATTGGATGACTTCGTTCAGGTTGTAGAACAATCATCTGTTGTTAACAAAGCCCAACTGGTAGGAAGTAGCAATGGTGAACTCATTGTAGAAACATTTGACTGGTCAAGTTACTTTGCTACATTATTCAAGAAAATAAAAGGCATCAAAGGCTTTCAACACTGTTGTAAATGCGAGCTCACCTGGTTTAGTTGCAGCCAGACAAGTTGTAGATGGCCCAGTCACACAATTCAATTTGCTGAAAGAGGACACTCAAATAATGGAAGATGATCTACCTAATGTATTACCACCAAAGGGTAAGTCAAGTGAAAGGAAATAGTACCTTTAGAAAAAGATAAGATCGTTTTGCAGATACAAATGTAAAGATGTAACTTGCCCACTTCCTGATGCACCTTGACCAGCAGGATCATCTCAACAATCAACACCAGGTGTACATGTTCCACCAGACCTCGCAATGGAGATGGAAGTACCACATTCTCCAGGGCAATCTTTAGAATCACCTACAACACAAAAAAATTGGTAATTGTGGTTAATTCGGTCATAATAGAAGAACTGGTCCATGTAATCAGTAAATGAATAACAGAAATGAGTTTGTGTAATGCACATACTATTGATCATCTTTTAATAGGAGAGGAACTAGTTTGTCTACAATAAACAGACTATTGATCCCCTGAAACAGGTGGAACTAGTTTGAATGCCAAACATTCAAACTATTGATCCCCTGAAACAGGAGTGGAAATAGTTTGAATGCCAAATATTCAAACCATTGATCCCCTAAAGGAGAGGAATTCGTTTGTAACACTAAGACATACAAACTATGGATCCCCTTTTTTGAAAACAAATGTTTTGAAATAGTATGTGTGTGAGACGTCAACATAAACACAAACACTCTTTTTTGTTTAAAACTTACTAACTCAAAAGAAAAGGCCGAGAGAAAGTTGGTCACTAAGTTATTATGCAGGTGATTTGTGTTTATCTGTACAGGTGAGAGGACTGATAATAAAAATGTGTGGGAGGAGAATACCGAAATAGAAGTCAATGCGTCATTCACAGCCAATCAAAGAACACCAAGTGTCAACTGTGACCTTTAGGATATAATATAAGACACCTGAAACTGTAAGTTCAAAATCAAAAAGTAATGGCTGCCCCAATAGAGGATGTCCTCATTGAGATCCATCCATCTGATGGTAAGTTGGGAATGTGTAACCCTATAGTGATAACTATAATGCCTTTTGTTTTTGGTAGATGAACTTGGTAAGATGTTGTACATTAAAAGCAAAAAATAATTGTATTTATAGCAGAAAAAGAAGTAAGGGTGAAAGAGAAAAAGGAGACAGGGAAGAGAGGACAAAGGAAAATGTGGACAGAGACAAAGAGGAGAGTGGAGACAGTCGAAAGGAGAATGGTAAGGTTGAAAGGTGAAACATACAACTATACATGACATTATTTTTAATAAAACTAAACAGCTTAAGTAAGTTTATTTACATCTGTGATTGTGTGACAATTTTTGTTGTGAAGCAACTGTAAGATGGACTGTTAAAATAAAAAGTAATTTTGCATTCCATTTTAGTTAGTGCTATTTACAACAAATAGGCAAGAAGAAGGAAGGTCCTTAGGTAATTAGACAATAGTTAAAATTATTTGTACTTTAAATTCACATTCCTTAATTGAAGACTTGAAACAGTTCAGGCCAGCTTTACAAAATAAACAATATTTTACATGTAAATTAAAGGCTTTATGCCATTGTAAATTAGGGCAGTTGGAACTCATTGAGGAGGGCCGGGGGAGAGGAGGGCGAGTAATGAGAAGTCGGGACAAGAAACAGAGACAAAGGAGGAGACAGAGACATGTGAGGACACATGTGTGATAATGGCGCTTTGACATTTATGCGTTCATGTACATGTACACGTAACTACAATACTCTGTTATTATTCTTATTACTATGTATTCATTGTTGTTGTACATATGTTATGTGTTGATCATTATGCATGTATTATTATTGTTACTATTGTTATCATTGATATTATTATTCATATTGTTACTTGTGTTATCCTTACTGTGGCCATTATTATTTCTATTTATAGGCAGACTGTCAATATGACATATGATGTATTATGATTTTAGTATATAAGTGCATGCTTTTACTGTATTTGTTGTTCATTCGTTCGTTTGTTCATTTCTTCCTTCTACTTTATTATTCCCATTCTCATTTTAAGTCCTCTTTGAACCTAGCGAGTTTGCCATTCTCACATTCCTGAGATACGCGTGCTGTGCTTCTTTCACACTTTTGTGTTCTACTTCAACTACTGGTTACTATACCATTCCATTCCTGGTTCCCAACATTACACTGGCGATGAGGTAAACGGTCATGGCAACTCATGGGAAGATGTCTGCACACAATCCAGCAAAAGAAACCTGGACTAATTACATGGAACGCTTACAGTTCTACTTTCTAGCAAATGGCATCACAGAAGAGGACAAGATGAAAGTGGTGTTCCTTACTGTGTGCGATGCACCTACGTATCAACTCCTAAGGGGACTATTTCAACCACAAACTCCACTCAATGCCTCATTTGATGAAGTAAAGCAAACTCAGGGAGCATTACAGTCCTAAACCCTCTAGGATTGTGCAGAGATATACTTTTCACACAAGAGTCAGACATTAGCAGGAGTCAGTAGCTGCCTATGTGGCAGCACTTCGTGCAATTGGGGAGCATTGTGAATTGGGGGACTCCTGAAAAGGAATGATTCGTGATAAACTTGTCTGTGGTATTAACAATTCTAGAATACAAACCCGCTTGCTACAAGAACAAGACAGGCTGACTTATGAGCTGGCAATCAAGACGGCGCAGACAGTGGAACTGGCATCACAAAATGCACAAGATTTGTCAAAACAGCTCTCTCAGCTCCAGTAAATCAAATGAAACATCAAAGGGAGCAACACAAGACACCGAAAGAAGTTGAATGCTACAGATGCGGTGGTAGGCACTATGCTACCCATTGTCGTTTTAAAGATGTTGACTGTCGCAGCTGTGGTAAAGAAGCTCATCTAGCAAAGGTCTGCCGTAGCTCTAAAAAAAGATCACAACAACCAGTCACACTAGAAACCATCCAGATCTGTTAATAAGACCCCATTGAAATACAATGCCCATTTATTAGACCACAAACCAAATTCTCACCATTCAGCTACTGTTCTAGAGGACTCCCAAGATTATCCTTTGTTCACTCTACCTGGTAATGTCCAACCTATTGTACTCAGAATGAAAGTGAATGGTCCAGACCTCTCAATGGAACTGGACACAGGAGCCTCCCTATCTCTCATTAGTGAACAGACATACACAAACGTGTGTCATGCATAACCCCCCTTACACAATCTAATGTCGTTTTGTCCACTTATACAGGTGAAAAGATCCGTCCGATTGGTACAGTAGATGTCACTGTACAAAACAAGTTACAATTCCCTTGCTAGTCATCCCTGGCCAAGGAGCCAGACTGGTAAGGACGAAACTGGCTGGAAAAGATCAAGCTGAATTGGTCAGACTTAAAAGTTAATGTTTTTTCTTCCATGGATGACGTAATGCAGACACATAAAGAAGTGTTCTGTCCAAAGCTTGGGAAACTGAAAGATGTTGGGGCAAAGCTCCATGTCGATCCTCAAGCTTGACCTCATTTCTATCGTTCACAAACAGTTCCGCATTCTCTTAGGGATACAGTGGCTTAAGAGTTGCGACACCTGGAAGAGCTGGAGGTCATCACTCCTGTCAAGCATTCCGAATGGGCAGCACCGGTGGTACTGATTGTCAAAGAAGATGGATCCATTTGTCTCTGTGGTGACTATAAAGTAGTAATCAATCCACTCCTGTTTCCTGACCCCTATCCTCTCCCGAGAGTCGATGATCTATTCGCTGCACTCTCTGGAGGCAAGTCCTTTTCCAAATTAGACTTGAAACATGCCTGCTTACAAGTTCCTCTAGACAAAGAGTCTAAAACGTATACTACCATTAATACCCAGAGAGGACTCTTTCAATATAATCGCCTGCCTTTTAGCATCTCTACAGCTCCTTCAATTTTGCAGAGGATAATGATAACCTCCTCAAAGATATTCCGTAAGTATGCGTCTACTTAGACGACATCCTCATGTCTGGAAAGACAGATACTGAGCACTTACGAAACCTCGATCTGGTGTCAAAACATTTGGAGCCATCGGATCTTATGCTTAAACGGTCCAAATGTACTTTCATGGCTCCCTCTGTCCAATATCTGGGACATGTCAATGTTGCTGATGGTCTTCACCCAGCTGAAGCTAAGATAAGAGCCATTAAAGAAGCTCCCCCAGCTCCATCCAATGGCACTGAGCTGAAAACATTTCTAGGCTTACTTAATTACTATCACAAGTTCCTTCCAGACATAGGTACCACGATAGCACCTCTACATTCACTTCTCCACAATAATACTAGTGGAAATGTGGCCAATCTCAAGCAGAATCATTCAAGAAAGTCAAATCACTTCTACATTCTAATTCTCTCCTGGTCTATTATGATGACACCAAACCTCTCATTCCGTCAAGTGACGCCTCTTTATATGGAATAGGAGCAGTGCTGAGTCACTGGATGGCAGATGGTTCTGAACGACTAATTGCTTTTGCCACCTGCACCCTGTCCAGTACAGAACAGAACTATTCTCAAATAGAAAAAGAGGCCCTATCAATCATTTTTGGAGTGAGGAAATTTCATGACTACTTATACGGTAGACATTTTACATTACACTCTGATCACAAACCATTGCAGTAACTTCTCAGTGAATCTAAGCAGATTCCAGCTCTAGCTTCATCCCGTATCAAATGCTGGGCTATCACTCTAGCTGCATACTCTTATGAGATGAAGCATAAGCCAGGATATCAACTCGCTAATGCAAATGCTCTTAGCAGACTTTCTTTACCTGAGCAACCAAAGTCAGTTCCTATGCCTCACAATGTAGTCCTGCTACTACATCACATTTCAGACACCATTGTCCATGCCTCTACAATCAAAGAGTGGACAGCTAGTGACCCAGTTCTTTCCCGTGTGTGCAAACTAGTACAAACTGGCTGGATATCTGATGAAACCTCTGCAGCCATATTTCCAGTGTTATGATGAATTGAGTGTTATTGATGGCTGTTTACTCCGAGGGTCTAGAGAAGTTATACCTACTGATGGTCGTCCCTCTATACTATCCCAACTTTATGATACACACCCAGGCATCAGTCGCATGAAGAATCTTGCTCGAACTTGTGTGGTGGCCAGGCTTAGACAAAGACAGACATTGAAGACAAAGTGAAAAAATGTGTCACTTGCCAGATTTCTTGTCCTACTCCACCACAAGCTCCAATTTATCCCTGGGAATGTCCATCCTCTCCATAGACTAGGATCCATATAGATCATGCTGGTCCTTTAATGGGCAAAACTTTTCTCATTATTGTTGACGCACATTCCATACGGCTAGAAGTAGAGATTGTCAGTTCTACATCAGCTGAAGCCACTATTCAGGTTCTAATAAAGCTATTTGCTATGCATGGATTGCCTGAACAATTAGTCTCAGACAATGGAGCAGCTTTTACTAGTCATCAGTTTAAAGACTTTATGAGTAAGAATGGTATCCATCACTCCCTAACTTCGCCATATCATCCTCGATCAAATTGTCTGGCAGAACGAGCTGTTCAGACATTCAAATCAGCTGTTAAGAAACTAGATGAACCAATGAATACTCATATTTTTCATTTCCTTCTACAATATCGGATAACCCCTCAGTGTACTACAGGCCTCTCTCCATTGGAGTTGCTAATGGGTAGACGCTTGAGAACCATTATGGACCTAGCTCGTCCTGACATGACTATAAAAAGTGAAGGAGAAACAGGACAAAATTCCTCAACCAAAGCAACGTACTCGTTCCTTCTTAGTAGGTGACAAATTATTTGCAAAGAATTTCTCCGGCTCTCCAAATTGGATTCCAGTAACTGTCACAAAAGTATCAGGTCGTGTCTCATACCACATTGAAACTGATCAAGGGATTGTCCTTCGCCGACATATCAATCATCTCAGAGTTCGTCACGTTGAGACAGATAGTCAATCTGACTTTGACCATACTGACAATTTCACATTTACGCCTGAAAATCCACCTTTAGAACTCCCAATTCCAGAAACCCCAGTTCCTCCAGATCCACTACCATTACGCAGATCAACTAGACCAAGGACTCAAGTGGATATTGGACCCTATGTACGTTGAATTTATAGGGGGAGGGGTGTGATAATGGTGCTTTGACATTTATGGATTCATGTACATGTCCACGTAACTACAATATTCTGTTATTGTCATTATTACTATGTATTTACTTGTTGTACATATGTTGTGTT